TTTTTTCTCCCAGAGGGGTATGAGGAGACTCCCGCCCTCAGTCACAGGTACTGCCCTGGGTCCCTGAGCTCTGTGGTGTAAATTCCCTGCCAGGAGTTTGCAGTCTCTGCGCTAAAGGAGTTCTTGGCTACAATGCAAGGAGGAAGCTGCAGTTGGGACAGCAGCAATCATGGTGGGCAGCAGGACCCGGAATTGGGCAACGGGAATGCCTTTGGCTACTGTCACAGCCAATCTACAGCAATCTCCATGTCACAAGTCCGGAGGTGACACTGAGAGGAACTTGCAAAGAAAAGTAGCTTTGCCACTGGTGTCAACTTTCCCCGGGGAGACGGAGCCGGCTGTGGGCCCAGTGAGGCCCGAAGCACACGGCCATGGCGCTGGGCAGGCGGCCATGGCCGGCCTGCGAGGAGGGAGGGCTGGGCAAGGGGCTGCCAGGCCCCGGGGGGAAGAAACCCTCTGGGCCCAGCCCCTCACGCTGCCCCTGGAGAAATGGAGAGGAAGCCAACAAACGAGAGTGAGATTAACTGCTAACTTTATTGCGCCGGTGGAGGGGGATCGGGGCCAGCACACGGGGACGGCGCACGGCTGGTCCCGTGTCTGCGTCCAGGCCGGCTGTGAAGACTTTGTGCCCGACGCTCCAGGCGGGAGCAGCCCCTCATCCGCACGGGCCCAGCGCGGCTGCCACTCTCGAGGGCTGCAGAGGGGCAGGAGGTCCCCGCTGGCAGCTGGCTGGCGGTGCTGGGGTGGCTGCTCGCCGGTACTGGGGAGCTGTGGGACTAGCCTGGCCGGGGGTGCTGCTCTCAGCGCTTGGCCCTGGCACACAGCTCCTCCCCTGGCCCCTCCTGCGCCGGCTGTAAGGCGTCTGGGCCTGATGCTGCGCACGGGAGAGATGTCCTCTGCGAATGGGCCCAGGTGGGCTGGAGGAGCTGCTCCCCTCAAGCACTGGGGAGTCGTGGGATGGCCCCGATGCCACCTTCATGCCCCTGGGCTGGGGCCAGGGCCCAGGCACGGCCTCACAGTTGGTGCCCAGGCTGGGCTTGGCAGAGGCTCTCTGCTCCAGGAGGGCTGGGGGCACCGCTCTGGCCTCTCCCACCCTGAACCTGGGGCCCGTGCCTGTGACCTTCCTGCTTCCCCTTACAGACTCCAGTGACAGCTCAGAGACCCTGGCACTGGTAGCCACTCAGGATCGGGGCCATCCCACGGCTCACCAGCACGAGACCAGCAGCCCCAGCTGGGGGAATAAATGGTGAAACACAGTCTCCCATAGAAAAGACAAGAGGCAACAGATTCAACAATCCAAGCCCATCAGACCAAGGAAGCCACATACTGAATCTCCACACAGCCCGTGTTTACACAAGCTGGACCTGACTGGAGCCCAGTCCCAGGGAGGCGGGAAGTCCTTCTCCAACAGAAAACTCTGCACAGGGCATCCACCTCACAGACAGACACTGCCCCTGCCTGCAAGTGGGCCCAGCTTTTATCCCTAAGCGGGACACCTGACCTTTGTTCACTTAATGTGGGACGCCTGGGGCTCCTTTACCCAATGGCTCTCCCTGCATTGCCGGCTGCACCCCGGAGGGAAGCCTAAAGGCAAACTCACCCCCCCTTTGTGAAGGGCTGTGGAAATTACCCATAATGCAACCTTAGTTTGGGGCTTGGGGTTGACACCCCAGCATTTCAACAGCCCACAGTGGCTGGCTATTGTGACATCATCACCCCCAAAGACGTGCAGGGACACCCTTGAGTTCCGTCATCTCCTTGGAAACGGCCACTGCCCCTCAGAGCTGGGTGCAAAGTGCCAAGGTGGGCACCTGAGACCTCGGCTGGCTGAGAACAACTGAACCTCCCCACTGTACCTCAAACACCTTCCTCCGCTGTTGAGGATGGCGCCGAGACCCCCCAGGCAACCCCGGATAGCTTGGATGGAGGTGGAGGATCACGGGGAGAGGAGCCCTGTGCCGGAGCCAGACACCGTGGTCCAACCACTGCTGATCGGTGAGTGAGGGAGCTGATGCCGGGACCCTGTTTCTCCCATTTCAAGCTCTTGTCACCCTTTGGGAGGCTCGTTGGCCAAGATGGCTGTTGTCCTACAAACTCTTCCATGGTTCCCTGTAGATGAGACGCTGCTGGAGGAAAAGCCAGAGCAATTAGGTTGGGATCCTGAGAGCACCTGGTTGCTTTCTTCACTCCGCAGCAGCATCCTGTCAATGGTAATGAGCTCCCCCCCC